GCCTGCTGAACAGGAGAAAAGAGAGCTGAGCCTGGGGGTCTGCTGAACAGGAGAAAGGAGAGCTGAGCCCGAGGGCCTGCTGAACAGGAGAAAGGAGAGCTGAGCCTGGGGGCCTGCTGAACAGGAGAAAAGAGAGCTGAGCCCAGGGGCCTGTTGAACAGAACTGGAACCAGCAGGTGCGGACTGCAAGACCGATTTTCTTGATCCTGCAATGGTTTTCAAAATGCACAGGCGGTAATGTCGAGATGGGTGGGAATGCAGAGGTGGTGCTGGGATCCTAAGGGCAGGCAGGATGGAAAGAGGAACCTTCTGTGTCAGTCTCAGCACTACTAGGCTGGTTCTGGCTGCACTCATTTCATTTGATTCCTACTGTGTGGAGAGGACATGATCCGCCCTTTAATATCCACCACATCGATTTGGCTGTTAAGCATGGTTCAAATTTCTTGCAATATATGTCAATGCTGAGCACACGTGAAGAGCATGTGGGGCATATGTGAAGAGTTTGTGAAGAACATGCACATGGCAAACATCCAGACAGATTTAACCACAACACAGCTAGATACTCTAGCTAGATACTCTAGATTCAGCAGTTTTCAGAGTAGCATTGTTTTTTATGACAATCAATGATCAGTAATCACTAAAAATTGTACAATAAAATGACTGATCAAAGAGTAATATTACTTTCTAAAATCTTTAGTCACGTATTCTGGTTTTAATTTCCTCACTAATGGCCACCCACCTTAGGTGGAACAGTGAATCAGACTGGGAAAGCGGCCTCAGAGACACTCGTATGTGAGACATTGTTGATCTTGGGTTTGGTGACTCCATGATCCTCTGAAGGTCAGACACCAGCTTAATTAGCAAGGCCCTTAGAAGTAAGATCATGGTAGGTTTAAACCCAAGAAGGGACCCGCTATGATGTAGCAATGCTGACGTCCCAAGTGATGAGGGACCCAAACCCATCGAAAATCATCCACAGGGAAGGGTTTCCTGTTTCTGGGGGCCGCTGCATAAGTCACCCCCTTGGATGTTTTAAAGGCTAAGTAAGCAGCCAGTGAGTGGAGTCAGAAGGCCGTAGTTAGCTGGCTGTTTAGCTATACATGGTAAATAAGGAGTGTGTTTCTTTAATATATAGTGTAGTGACTGTGGCCAACAGGGGGCTCAAGCAAATGTGTGGCCTGGTGGTAAATACCAGCACTCAGCACTGAACCCATGGCCAAACCCAGGAGGAGAGAGACACAGAAAAGACGGCCCAGTAAAACCCATCACACACAGCCTGAAAATCTGCATCAACATCCCTGAAATTCACTCCGTATCGCAGCTTGTATTGGATGTTTGACACGGTGCTTCAGCACCTTCCCTAAAAACGAAAGATACAACATGCAAAACAAGTAAGGCAGCTCTCGTTTCACTGTACCGGCTGAAATGTGTTTTCCTCATTTCCAAAAGACCTCAGGGGCCGGGAGCTCTGCTTACGAGAAGCTTTCCGAAGGCCTTCTTGGAAGCTGTCACCTTTCCGCGCAAGTGAATTCACAACATGTGCAATTTGCCCTGAAGAAAAGTTCCTTGAATTCCTCAAATGTTTTTAAAGTGACGTTTAAGCTATGTAACTCAAGGCAAGCGAGTACATATCATTTTCCACTTTTCAAGCTGGAAACAGAAATATCCATGTTATCAGCCTAAAACCACATGGTCTGTGACCTGGTCTCTATCAGTTTTTTATGGTTACAGGAAAATGAAACAAATGTTTATTTTAAGTGCTTTAATATTGTATTGTGTTTCTGCATTTCTTTTTGCTCAAATCACAGACTGTACTAACTGCTATTTTTAGAGCTTACTATAAGCACACCAAGCGATCTTTAACGCTGACTTGCACTGCGTTTCAGCCAGGGGACTAACCACAAACATTTCTCTGAAAATGAAGGGTCATTGAATTTCTGCATCAAGGGAAATCGTTTTCCAATATCCTATGAAAGTCCAAGTTTAGTTAAAATGTACATGACAAATTTCCAGGATTCTCCAGAATCCAGGCCAGCAGCTCATATTCTTTGGGTGAAGCAACACAGGCCGTGTCAGTGTTCCTGTCCTAACTGGTTTTACTGGTCATCAGAGGAGGAGAAGTTTGGCAAGAAGGTCTGGAGACAATTTAACTGGCAGGTCTCTACCATAGGCTAGTACATTGCTCTCAAGAGTCAGAGACACAATACAGGAACACCTCCAACAGCTGAGTCAAAAATGCAGGTGACACAGCTGAAATCCTTGCTACACTTTAAAACCCATTAAATAAAAATGAATCATGTTTGTCTGTGCATGTTTATGAGCGATTTTATCGCATTTGTTGGTATAGATTGACTTATGTCAGACAGTAACCGGGAAATGGATTAGTGTGGTCATGCTGGTCTGCACGTTTTATTACTGAAAAGTACACTCTGTGTTTGGCTTTGCTAAAACTACACCATGCCGTTTTTGTCACAAGTAAAAGACAATAAAACATACTTGTTCCTTTAAAAATTATATTACTTGCTGATAAAATATATGCATATGCATTTATGAATTATTAAATCTACCACACTGGTGCTTTCTCCAGGTTAAATGACACAGTATTATCAGTATTGTCACAATACATCTCCGTTACTATTTTAAATATGATCATTACGCTGTAAATATTCAAAGCAGGCAGCAAGATAAACATGCCTATTGAGCCGATAGCGGAGCGCAGATACTCAGCTGCAGGCGACAGAGGTGGGAGCTCAGCTAACAGGCGTACCTGGCTGAAGTCATGGCCTTGTTTTGCTGCTAGAGAAAGTCAGAACATGGGCCAAAGTAGCAGTGATTCACTGGCTGATGAGTCAACAGCCTCGGCTATAAAAGGGCAACACTGATGGTTGCCTTAGGATGACATAGACCTTAAGCCTACAGAGGTAAGTTCCCCTCATTCTTTTACACTATTTACTACTGGGGAATTGAGTCAGTCTCCAGCTCTTTAGTCAACAAATTATGATTCGTAGGTTTCTTATGAAATAAAAACAGCAAATTCCTATGAATTCTCTTTGTATGGGTGCGCAATGAAACATATTTCGGCACAAATTGCAGTTTAAAAATTTATTTTGTGTGTGTGTGTTTCATAATTACAAAATAAAAATGAAAATGTGTTTCATTTATGGAAACTGGAAGAAACATTTTTTGTTTGGCATGATGGATTTTCTTAAAGTATTTTAATAGTAATGTAATTTACTCCTAAAAAATAGCTAACTTTTCTTTACATTATTTTAAGCATTTGAAGATGACTTGTATTAAAGTGAAAATATTATGTGAAAATAAATCCATTTCAGCAAGATTTAATGTAGTAGGGGGAGGTAGTGCACTGCAGTTTCATTTCTTAAATGAACTATACCTGCGTACCATATAGTATGTGCCTGACATTTGTGACTTTTTGAGTAGAGTCAGAAGAGTAAATTTATGCAAACCCAAATTAAACCCAGACTAAAGTACATGCTGTTTGAAAATGTGGTATCTTAAAGCAGTCATCATAATGGATTATAATTACCTTTATAATGCATTATAATGATCAATATAAGCTATTATAATGCATTAGGAAGGTATCTATGGTGCATTATGGATGAGAGCTTCACAGAACATTCATAATGGATAATAAACATGGCTATAATGTATGCCTTTTTATAAATAGTTATATGTATGTATAATACTTTATGAATCAAATAACACAAAAAATTTACTCTCACTGTCTCCTTACCTATGTACTCTCACTGTCTCCTTACCTATGTACTCTCACTCTCTCCTTA